TGAGATGCTGAGGAGTGACGACCAAGAGTCTGCTCCTGCACAATCCACCCCAAACCAAAACTCTAAATGCATCTTCAATTCTACTCATGTATTTATAGGTCCTTGCATGCCGACAAATTATGCTTTCAAAAATATTACAGGAAAATGCTGCAAGTGGTTGTCATAAAAAAAACCATCATAATTTCATTAAAAATTAACAAAAAGAAAGCATTAGTATTGTCCTGCCAACTGAGGGTTGGGGGGTATCTCACATTATTAAATTGAGAAGGCCAGCAATGGAAAACCTTTTTAGATTGGTGTTTCCAGTCCTTCCTCTTTTGCTTGGTTCAAAAGTCCTGCATAATTAATACTGTAGTACTTAATAAATGCTTATGAACCTACTACCTCTCTGCTTTTTCCATTTAATTAGGTGATTGACTTCAGGCATACTATAAATTATAATGACAATTTAATTACTTTTTTAATGTGCACACTTAAAAGATTTATAAACAGGGTAATACAGTGCACTCAAAATTAGAAATACCATGAACTGGAGAACAGCACAAAGTAATGACATCTAAAGTATCTCCTCAGTGGCTGAGCAGCTGCAGTGACTGGGAGGTATTTAAAGTGTCTGGTACAACTACAGAGAGCTATATATTTCTGTCCAAATGCCCATGTATACCTCTTTTAACATTTCCTTCCAGCATTTGCACATCTCACTTCACTTCATGGCAGAAACATAAAGGAGCTCCAAGGACAAGTCAGGCTTCGTACTGCAGTGTCTCGGGTAAAGCCTTCACAAGAAGTGGAAGACCTTTTCTTTTAAACAAATCATAAAACTTCTGAATCACTTCATTATAACACAGTCATTGTTAAAATTTGCAGGGGGGCAAAATCTCCTACAATATTCCAGCTGGCACAGGCAAACTGCCAAAGACCATGGATTTTATCATCTCATGAACAGACCCTTCCTACTCTGGAGGCAGAAATGTCTGAGAATATTTTGCACCACATCCTACAACAATCCAAGTTAACTCTTCTGATATTGTTATTATGCCACCTAGGACTCATTCCCCTCTCACTTACAGGAATGTAAAAGCTAAAAGGATTGCATATACAACAAATCAAGTAAGAATCAGATCCTTCAAACTAATGCTCAAAAAAAAAATTTGCTAAACTAAAAATTATTATTTTAAATTTAAATAGTTTAAGATAATAAAAGAAAAGTTAACCTACTTATTTAGCCTACCTAAATGTCCAGACATTTCCAAGCCCTAGATGGTCATTACAAAGAAAGCTGTATTTTCTACAAGTTACCTATCACTAACAGAGAGAGATGATAGCATTTGTTTTAAATCACACAGTATGCTACATTGCTGAAAATTTCCCATGTAAAAAAAGTCATTAAAATTTGGGCTAGAGGAGACGCTTTCCCATCTGGGAGCTGAATCTGGTTTGGTGTGACTATTCCTGTCTGTTAATTTAGCAGTACAAAGTATAACTCTACATTCTTAGCATACTTACTGGGGATGCTGGCATCTCTGTAACCAGAACTGCTTACAGAGAGGGGGAAAAAAAGACTGGGCAATTCACAGTGTGCTAGAAAAATTATGGGCAATTCCACGTTTTAAGCATCATCTATCAACAGTGTTGAATAGTCAAAAGGGGAATAAATTTGAATGCATTGCCAAGGCAAATGCTGTGATAATTGTATCTGCTTTTCCTTTTCAATACAGAAAAAAACCCCAGACGCTCATCTCATCTGCACCCAGTGAAGCTGAGTGGAAAGCAGATCAATCCCACAGCTTCGTCCTGTGGCTGCCTGTCCACCTTGGCCAGCACAGAGCAAGACCTGAAAAGGTACAGGTAAAAGAAAAAAACACCAGGAGGCTGAGCAGCGTGGTGAATCACAGGGAGCTGCTTTGTCTGCAGCTTCCGTCCTCTGAGGAACTGTGCAGGGCTGAAACAATGGCTCTCCTATGGAGCTGCATCTCATCTACCTCATCTACAGCCAGTGATGAATGATGGGTCAAGAGGGCAGCAGACTTTGGGTGCACAACCCTTAAATACTTTATCAAAGATGGCAAAAGGCCATGTGCTTCAATAACACAGCAAATACTTCCTTTTGCTGTATAGCAGACAAATTCCTTCCTCTCTGCTGGCTCAATCTGAAGCTTTTGGTTCACAGCTCAGAGCGTGTGTGCAAGCTTTACATTCACAAAACACACACGTAAAAAAGCTTCAGTTTTATTCCTGAGACCATTCAACTGTAAACATTCTCACAGAAATGGAAAGTCACTCCTATCTGTGCTGAAATCTTATGCTTTCATAAATATGTAACTCTAGGGATTTGGGGAGCCCATAGACAATTAAAGAAGGCACATTTTACTTACTTTAAAAAGGGAAACTGAATAGTAAAAATTGTAAAAAGAAAAATCTATCTCATCCAAGCTTTTCATACTGGGGTTTCCTGAAAGAAAAACCTACTGATTTGATAGAAATTAAAAGTTCAATAAAATATAGAAATTTTGTCCATGGTTTAAATGAAGATAAATGAAAATAATAGGCCTTGTGATACAACAAGATACTTCAATACTAAAAGTTTGACAGTATTGTGCTACTCAGAGAATTACAATTTAGCAAGACATACAAGATGAGTTGGAATACCTTCATTACATAAAAATATGCAAAATAAAACTGAAGCAACCTTTAAAACGTTCTGAAGTAAGATGTCTTACTGCTTAAGAGTTGTCCAGGTTTTGTCCCAGTTAGAGGAGAGGTAAAGTATTTCAGAACCTTCTGCCATCTACATTTTCTTTCAACCACTTTTGTCTTCTGTTCCTCCTTAACTCTTTCTTTGTCTTTTTATTGCTTTAGATATCTTTAAAACTTGATCTAACTGCTCTGGATTTGACAACAAAAGTTAATGTTCTAACAGGACAGAAAGCTCATGTTTGGTTTCTAAAGGTAGTGGCAGAAAGCAGTCTTGGAAAAAAACTCCACATGAGCTGTGATCATTTCAGCTCCCTTACGAAAAACCTCAGCAACAGAAGAAATCCACTTGGGTTCCTGCCCACCCAGCACCAGCAGCTGGGGTAACCCTGTAACTTTGGGATCATTATTTAATGGTAACAACACTTAGAACTGGATCATAACTTTCCCATTTTGGAGGCTTTGAGGAGTTGGCTGACACCAAAACTCCGACGTGAGCAGTGCAGGTTTCCCAGCAGTGCAGCGTGGGCAGTGAGGCAGCGAACTGTGCCATCCCACCATCCATCCCACGTGCATGGGAAACCTGCACCTTTCACCTCCAGACACACTAGGGCAGAAGAAATGGGGGTTTTCCCTCCCAAAGACCTCACATCATTTTACACTACGGCAATGGATTTGCATCATTTCAATCGAACTGTGTATTACAAATCTCACTATAGATTTTGAATTTTAACACTTCAGAACTGAGCAAAATAAATGGTGCTTATGCTCAGAAAATGGAAGGTCTTGGAGTGGAGATATCTCAGCTTCCTTACAGCCCCGTTGAGCAGGAGTGACATCTCTACTTCAGTCAAGTGAAAATTTCAGATTAAAAAATGAATTATTTTAATTGATAGCCATAATGTGTACTGAAAAGCTCCTAAAACAATAACAGCTTTTACACAACCACTGCTGCCCAGAAAGCAAACCAGCACAGAAATAACTCACCCTCTGAATATTTTCATTCCTTTTTCAGAGTGTGAAACTAAGATTGGCACCAAACTGCATCACCTTTTTAATGCATTTTCCAAATTGAGGGGCACTTGAGGAGCCACAGTTATGTCCCAGAGAAAACATATTCAATGTAACTTTTCTGCTACGCCCACCTTCAGTTCATGGCCCAGCACTCTGCTCCCTTTTATTCATCCAGGTGAGGAGAAGCTGACAGCTGGGGGAGGGAAGAGATTGGGAGCCATATGGAGCTAGAGTCAATTTTTGGTACGCATTTGTGAATAGATACAAAAGAGATAAATGCTGGCATGCATAAATTCATATTTTATCGATACCTATTTTGGTACTTACTGTCAGAGTAATTTATTCCAAAATAGGCCTTTAAAAATGAACATCGGTTTAAAGAAAATTCCAATCCCGACTTATTTCTTGCCACAGCAAATCCAGGATCCCAATGCCATGAAGCAGGAGGCAGAATTCCATTCAATGAGGTTTACTTCATGATGCCAAAAGGGAAAGTGATGCAAATAACTAAGAACCCAAGAGAGAGATTCTCCAGGTCACTGCTCAAGACAAGCTCCCCAGGAATGGGGGTGGGCAACCAGCCTTGGTACAAGGAAGCATTGGGGGTCCACATCCAAGCTGCTCACACAGAGGGCAAGGAGAGCTGATGATTTTGCATGCAGCATCTTGTAATAACAAAGGTTATCAAAATTACAAGATTCACTAGATTGGCTGTCTGTAATTGCTGCACCTACAAATGTTCAGTTTCACTTCTCAGACTTATTCAAATAATCCAGCCCTCATGGGCCTGCAAACCCGAGCTGCAAGTCTGAATATGAAAGGGGATTTATTAAAAGATTGCTGGTGCATCTGACCATGACGGAATGCTAAGAAACGAAAAAGTAATGAAACGTACAGAACATTTCTGAGCCCCAGATTATGTTTGGCCTGGATCCAGTGGATGTGTTTGATATCCACTGGCTCCCCTATTACAGACTGTTATCTCCCCAAACTTTGATCTAAGGCCACTGCAAGAGCAGAGGAGCAAAAGTATCTATGAGAGTCACTTATTCCATTAGTCAGAAATCAAAAATCAAAAGAGCCACTTGAAACACTAACAGAATGCAAAAACTCATCACTTCCTTCAGAGAAGGGCAAAAGACCTTATTTGTAATTGTTGATTGGAACATATGCCATGCAGAAAATTTATGGACTCTATTACCAGCTCTTAAATAGTTCTGTTGCTGGACTCCAGCAAATGGTTTGAATTTTTTATGCTTTTTTCAAAATCACAATAAAAAACACATACCCACCTCACAGAATAGAGGTTTCATCAATGTTCCTAACTCACTCTCAGCTTCTTAGGTAGACAGTCCTGCAAAAGTGCAGAGCACCATTATTTAGATTTGATTTGTTTTTAAAAAATTTAATCCTATCTATTACTTGATTGGGTTTTTTTAAGAATTATCTTTCAGGTAGGAACAATTTTGGATGCAAAGTCAGTATCTCTGCCTGGAGACTGGCCTCAGGCTTCTGCCTCATGCATATGTGTACATCATATTCCTACATCTTCCACAAAACAGAAAGTGAGTTTGTGAACAGGTCAGTAGGACACAAGCCAAGCAATGTACATCTAAATCTGAAAAAAACAAACAAACAAAAATAGGTGGGTATTTTTAAGAACAAAACTCTCTCCTACGAACTTAATTTCTCCATGGTCACACAGTCTGGGTGCAATGTGTAAAAAATGGCTTTCTGAGGCACTGTGGTGTCTTCTGAATCACTGCCATTACCCAAGAAAACCCCAGGAAGTGGTTTGGATGAGAAGCTGGACCCAGCTTGCGTAGGTATCAGCTGATGTCACAGTACACACAGCACAAAGCCCTAACAATATGGACATTGTGAAATCAGGAATAACCTTCTCTTATCTCCTGCAGTTTGGGAAATAATTTCTAACCCGGTGACTACAGAGCTTAGGAATAAGTCAAACAGTTAATTATTCACTATGCTTCCTAATTAATCTCCATTTCAGGCCAAATCTTTGTATGCCCATAAAAACACGAAGATCTCCAGCGAGGGAAACAACAGCATGAGCTTTTGGACCTCCTTCTGCAAAGCAATTCGTTTTTCCATAAACAGTTACTATTAAGCAAGGACAAAGCAACAAACCAGACAGCCATCTGTGTAAACCAATTTAAAAGGATGGTGACCTCATAGCATTTTTCAAACTAACGCTCTCCATTTAACTTCTGCCACCCCGTCCTGCCCCAGCAGATGCTGGGCTCGAGCAGGTCCTCGGGTGAGCGCGGTGCTTTCGCTTTAGGGAAAGCTGGTGCTTTAAAGCCACACACTCAGTGATTTCAAACCTGTGAAAAGAGCATGTCAATGAAAATACCTCGGCATATATGGAAGCAGGATAACCTTAGTGGCTGCCCACGCTTCCAGAGGGTGTTGCCACAAAGGTCTGTGCTATGTTTGCCAGCTGAGCTTCCTAGAGGTATGAGGTCAAGCGAGCACAAAGGTTCAGGCCACTGATGGTAACACAATCCCTGCTGAACTGTGTTCTTCCTTATGACCCAGAGAGAAGCCAGAACAAGCACAGATGGCAACCACATTAGAAAAGAAGCCAAACCTGATAGCCTTAGAGCAAAACTTACAAATACATACAGCACAGCTATCCTGTGTGCACCTGGGACGGCCACAGCATCCTCAGCTCATTCTGCCTACTTAGATTTGAATGCAATGAAGCTTCAGGCAAAATATGCAAAATAAAGTACCAAGTAGAACACCTACAAAGAAGTACAAGTAATAAGCACCCAAGGACATGTCTTGCACAAGGTCATTTGCAGAACTGCCCTTTATTCCATTTATTAAAGTCAGTCAGAGCCACATAAGAGCTGAGAGCAGAGTGCATCAGATGATGGTGACACCAGACCATTGGTAGCACAACAGAAGGAAATGCAGAAACTCATTTACAAGGGCATGTGGATTACAAATATTTCAGTATCAGAGAAAGAAATGTATATTCTGTGTAGTCTCTTCATATTTCCAAGCATGAGAACAACATAACTATATAAGCTGTATTTCAAGTGGTGGAAGGAAGTGTGTGCTTCTCCATTGTATAAAGATGATGTTTCTAATCCACATAGTGCAGACATGGTAAAAATTACCTTCACAATGCCAAGGCTTGTAACATGGACTCTTTTTTTCTTTAGCCTGCATTTTCAGAGAGCCATTACTTTACTGCCACAGCGCCTGATGTTTGTGTGCCTGTTATTTGTGTTTGCTCTAAAATAATGGCTGTGAGGTGAAGGTAACTTGCCCTTCTGGGCCCAGCGCATAATTGTACAACTGTTTGTGCAGTAATAACCCATTGTACACACAAAGTGACATTTCTCTAATTGGCATTTGCTGAACGCAAGGGCATCCTCTGCAAACACCGTGGCTTTTTTATTGGCAGCCCCTTTAGTTATTTCACTCCTCCTAACACAGAATCTCCTGTCTGTCATTAGAGAGGAACAAACCATTCCTCACCACAGCGACAGTAATACTATATATTTCTTAATAATATCGCTGAATACTATTATAGATTAGCCCTAAAAGACAGAGTAGTATTAACAGCTGTCCTGGGAATTTGTTTCAGAAAAGGGAACACTTCTGACCTTTGAGTCCGTGTTTCAGTGCCTTTTTGAGATGCCTCAGAACAAAAGTTCAAGAGGCGTCTCCTTTCAGTTTGTCTCATCTTGTTGCATGTTAAAAGTGAGGACAGAAATTCAAGAGAAGCCTGGCTGGTGCTGCTTTCCCTTGCCTTCAGTTCTGCTGTGTCAGCTGATGTTGGCACATGCAGCATATTTCTCTGCTGCCTTTGGTTTTGTCTTTCCTTGGTCGCTGCTTTGAGTCCCTACCCAGCCATCTCCACAGCTCTCCTGTCACTGCCATGTTACGTAAAAACTCAGAAATGGCTTAGGAAACATTTAAATCTGTGCTATCTTGGCAAGCAGCTAATCCTTGAAGCAAATGCTACTTACACAACAGAGTGCCTGCGTTTCCTACCCTGTCGTGGAGATGTCATGCCTCATCTCCTAAGGCTGGAAGGAATGCACAACGCTTCGTAAAATAGCACTGACTTTCCATTTCTACTATATAAGCATCTTGTTATCTGTTTTTATAGGGAGAGAAAATGGGAAAGGGAATTCCTGGAAGAGATTACAATTGTCAAACTGGCTTTTGATATCTGTTAAACAGCTGAAGCATTAATTTTTTGGCGGCACTGTCAAAAGCCTATGAGGGCTTCCTGACTGAAGTGGAGGAAATAGTACATTTAGTTCAACTACAAGCTGTACTTTTAAAAAAATCCATATGAAAACAGACTCATTATTCATTTTTCTGTTAATATGTGGTTTTGCCCTGCAGTTTCAGTAATATTTTTTGTAAGACCTGGCAATCTAAAAAAGAACTGTAACTTAGAGCTAATGTTTTAATAAACTCTTGTTTATACTATAGACAAACCAGAACAAACAAAATAAAGTTACAAATGACATTTTTATAGGAATTCAAGAGAAAGATTCATGTGTCTGAATATTTTAGTTACAGTGTGGTAGGCATGACTATTATTTCCTGTAAAGCCAAACTGTATCTTTAAAGAACTGGAAGAAGGCCACCATGGGAATAGAGCATGGATATGACTTGGGCCTCTAAAGAGCAGCTGGATATAAATACCTTACAATTCAATGCAAAACTCTCATCAAGTATTCTGAGAATTTTACAGTGGAGCAATGGCAAGATATGGCCATGAGAAACCTGTTTGGAGTCCTCAAAATACCACCATGCAGGATTATCGCAAATGCCTCCCTCTATGGCAAAACTGACAAAAAATTTCACAAGAAAGGTTTGCACTGAGATAGGCAAGAAAATGACCGTTTTTAAAAAGTGATCTTAGAATTCCAGAAAATAGAACAAAAATGAAAGGACCAACCAAAGCCTATTAGATCATATTGTATCTAAGTAAGAAAAATCTATATATTATATTTTTCAGTATTTTGTCCAGTTCACTTTTGAGTAGCTCAAACTAATCAGCTCCTCCAGTTTCCATCAAGAGAAAAGAGTTTCATCATAATGATTTTTTCCTAGTAGTTAAACTAATACTCCTTTTGCTCATTTGCATAATTTTACTACTTTATATCTCATTGAGTCAGTTATTCCCTTCTAGGCGATCTTGGATCTGATACCACCGTGATATCTAATTTAATAGCAGTCAAGGTATAAAATGATAAACTAAAAAGAGCAACTGACCACCTGATTTGCAGCCTTGCTCCTTCTGTAACAAGCGGAAAGCTTCTGCTTGCATGAGACCTGAGTCAAGAGTCAAGAGGGTGGAAAATCACCACCTCGCTTCTAAGGACAGGCTGTATTTCATCAGTGCATGGCTCTGAGCTTTATGGAGGATGGAGAGCTAACAGCAAAGCAGCCTCAAAAAGCTCCTGTTTTCTTTAGTCAATGTGATGCTCCATGATTTGGTTAGACTGAGAAAATCTGGTCACTATCACTTTTTCCGCATATTAGTGAAAGGGGGTTTAATGAGTTTTCTGTTTCTTAGTTGTAATAACCCCTTTTTCATTCCCAAATTGCAGACTTCCAGATTAGGATATTTGGCTGGCCTTTGTATAAAAAAAAAAAATAGAATTCCTTGAATGAGAGAAAGGAGTTTCACACTGCAGACTGTTATCCTACTTCCCAGGCAAGGGCGAGAAGATGTCATGACCTCATGGACTGACTTTCTATCTCCTCTGCCCTTGAACAAAGGTGGTCCCTAGCAGCACACAGAGCAATTCCCAAACATTTACTTCACAATACAAAAGGATAAATAAGTGTACAAGAAGAAAAGAGAGTCCATCCTTGAGGATCTTGGAGTAAGTTTGTGAAAAAAAAATGACTACCTGGTAAGGAATTTAATTTTTTAACTCAGCGGTTATTATTTTTAACTAGCAGGGTAGCAACTGGCAATAATTGAGAAAGGCTGTATGAGTTTTTGGAAAACTCCTCAATGCTAAAGGCCTGTCTGCAAAGGGACAAAGTCATGCCATGAAACTACAGACACTTGGCAAACTCCTCAGCAATCTCGAATAATACCTTGTACTGCCCTTGTGTTATTAGCTATTGCAGTACCATGTAAATCCTTCATGACAGTGCCACTTTTGAAGTGCTGCTGTACTGTCAGGTGTCCTGACATTATCAAGGCTCCTGGGGATGTCAGTGTGTGGTGTCTCTTTCTTGCCTCCTTTACAGCAAGTTTCCAAGCCAGGATGTGCAAAAGGCCAGGACGTGACTCAGAAAAAATGTAACTTGGGTTAGAAGGAAACTTCTTCCCTCACTGTCTCCTCGGAGAACAGGACCTCTTTATCCAGGATAACTGTGTCCATCACCCACTCCTCTCTCGGGATTCATGCCTGGATTTTTGTCTGAGAAGAGGTGGCTGGTAGAGAGTGCTGGTGGCTGCAAGCAGATGGAAAGGGATGCTGGGCTAAGTCAGTGGCAGTTCACCACTTGTTGAGCTGTTTGAGGTCCTGCAGGAAAAATGCTCACTTTGTGGCACTAAAGAGAAATACTGCCAAGAGCAAAAATCACTAAGAGAATCCACTGTTCCATGGAGATACAGGAAACAAGACAGGAGACCAAGAAAAGACTTTGCCACAATTTACAGGAGTTGGTGCCAGACTACTGACATAAACCTTCCTGTCTGCTGCAGTACACAGCCTTCACCTGCAGTATATTCCTTCTCTCTTCTTCCCCATGAGCCAACAAACATGTGGATTTCATTCAAATTAACTGTTTGATGCCAGGGTAACATATATAAATCTATGAACTTACTGACAACCTAGTCCTGGATCTCCAACAATCTTTTGGAAGTCACTGGCCACTTGTAGGAAGGACTGAGCTGATGACTGAAGGTCCCAGGACCAAGGTTATCAGGCACAGAACACACAGGAAAAGCTGATGTGTATCTGACTCTGTTCACTCATATTACTGTATGCAGCAACATCAAAAAGATGGAAGGCTCTTCATTCACTGGATCAAGTGGATTTAAAAAATTATATTCACAAAAATGAAGCAACTTTTTTCACTGTGCCAACTTTTCTTGACACTGTATTTTTCTTGTATTGTTTCACTGTATTATTTTTCTTCACTTTTGTTACTCTGATCACTACAAATATGAGAAATGTTTATAACTCCTTATTTTTCCCTACAGAAGAGTAATGCCTAAATGAAGTGATGGCTAGCCTTTATTTCTTCCACAATGTCCGAAGGAACAAAACCCAAAACAATGAAATATATAAGCTATTGCTCACACAAGCTGACCAAAACTGCAGTTTTCAAGCATCTGGGAACTGGTTCACTGATTTCAACTGGACTTTATGGAAACACAAAGATCACCTTGAGAGATCAAGTATTTATGATTATAATAGATTATTTTGAACTAAAACAAACAAAATATATAATGTTCCCTGAAAATGTCAAATCACTACTTTGCCTCATATTTCAGAGTATTTTTACAACATATAGCCAGCTCACTCCAAAAACGTATATTGACTTGTGTTTATCATTTCACTAATGAATGAGCAGCACTGCCTGCTCCATACAGTCACTCTTCAAACAAAATAGTGCCATCAAAATGGTGGGCCATGGCAAGGTGAGCTTTCTAATTTTTTTCTTTTCCTTCTATCCCAGAGCACCTCTTTGCTCTCCAGAGTATTAAAGCACTGAAAGTACTTTGTGTAAAAATGATACAAGACTATAAATACCAATTCATGACCCTCAACAACTCTGTACATGACCCTCAGCTCTGTACAGCAGCTGTACAGAATGTACAGTCATAGATTTAACAGGTGGGAGAGATGGAAGAGAAAAGAATTGCATTTAATCTTTAAGCAGATTTCAGAATGAAGCCCCGATATTCCTGTGTCAGATTCAGTCTCCGTTTTTGCCTCCCAGGTATGGTAATTACAGTCCTGTGCCCACTGGGAACTAGTTGCACATTGAAACACCAACACGCTTCGCTGGAGGAGGGAGAGGTTTGGCTATGGAAATATTACAAGATGCAGCACTAAATACTCTGACTTTTGATGAATGTGCAGTATCCCTTTCTCACAACACCTAATTATTTTAACTAAACAGATTAATATCTGGTTAGCCACTGTGCAGGGTGACTTTCAAGATTTTAAAGGTGGCCATTGACTAAGTGAAGGCTCTTCTGGAAAAACAAGGCTTTAGCTACTGCGGTCATCATTCCTCAATTCAAGCTGTGCCAGCAGAACTTGGAGCCTGCACTTAGTCACTGAAGGCAACAGGGTGTAGGCATACAGACCCAGGCATCCACGGCGTATGATTTCACTGCAGGGTCAGCACCTAAATTAAGTTTGTCCCCAACGCGACATCTCTGTCACAGCACACAGGGAGGTACCTACACACCCTGCCACATGCCAGTTTGGATTTCATCCCTCTGCCTTGGCCTCAGTGCCAAGCATCAGGAAACTGGCAGGCAACTTGCCAACACTTTTTCTTAGAAAACGGCAACCCTTTCTGGAAATGTTCTGAAGGTCTGCAGAGTCTTTCTGGAAAGGTGATAATGTTGAGCTTTTGCACAAATACTGTAAATGAAAGCTACCCTAAAATACTATCACTACACTAAAACATGATACGCCTAAAAATGGGGGCAAATGAGGGCAATATTAGCCAAAAGATATTACTGTGTAGCCAGGCATTTCGATTCCTAGAAAGCTGAGGTAAATGACACATATAGTAGCATCAACCAGTTAGCAAGCTTTACGTTTTCAAAGCACACCCTAGGAAAATCCACTGATTTTTTATGCAAATGAGTCAAGATTCATCAAACATTTTTGTGCTCAACCTTTTGCAGATTTTTGAATTATATAACCAGTTTGTCACGAATCCCAAAATCTTACTGAAGTGACTGAAAAGAATTAAACCAAAAATTAAAGGAAGAGTATACTCGTAAATCTCAGTTCAATGAAGACCTTTCCATTCCCTCCTCTCCCCGTCTTGATTTTCCAAACCTCTTTTTAATTGCTGCTTCTCTTCCTACTGCTTCTGCCAAACGCAATTCTCAACCAGCACTCAACTAGCCAGAGCAGATGAGGAAACTTAATTCAGACGCAGTGCATGTGTAGGACCAGGCACCTGTCTGAAGGGAGCAGAAAGGTACACACAGCCCGTACTGCTCAGAGCGAGGGCATCCACGGGCAGCGCGCACCTGTGAGCACCGTGTCAACAAAGGCACAGACAGGGGCTAACGGGCTTTCTGCAGGAAGCCTGCTTTCATTCATTAACTACAACCTTTGGGCTAGTACATGCGGAGGAGGGAACACACAGGCGAGTTCAAACAAAGCTCCCGTTTTCCCTCTGAAACTTTTCAAGTCTCAAAATCTTGCACAAAACCCAAGCCGCCGTCACCTGAATGAAAAACAACAGCGGGCACTCGAATAAGTAAGACCCGCGTGAGAGTTTGCAAGCCCAGCCTGTGCGGAAGGCCACCTGCCAACAGGAAGAAGTGGTGAGAAGGAATTTGGATCCAGCTGCTATCCTCCCTCAGCCAAACAATGCCGCGCGATAAACAGCATTAAGGATTTTTTTTTTTTTTTTTTAATCCTCAGTCACACTGGGAGCATCTATATCTGTCATTTTCACTCCCTGGTTACGAGGAGAAAGGCTTGAGAGATTTCTGTGCACAAGTTCACAGAGAGCTGCTCTCCTGTTTCCTATCATAGCTTTATCAAAGGGATTGAGACAGGAAGAACAGGAGGGAAAGAAGAAGAAATGACGAAGTGCCTTGCCGTAGGGCTGACTCAAGCTACTAAATTCATCACAGGTAACACAGAAAATCTTGTAGCTGTCTTGTAGCCCCATTTCACATGTCAGACAGAAAGGCTGAGTGGACACAGAAAGAGGAGATAACTCAGTATCTGCAGCCCTTATTTCCTTAGAATGAAGTAGTGAACACCAGGAAATGCACTGCGACTGCATGCTCAGCGGCTCATTGTGGCAGGTGCAACTTAGCCTTAAGACCACGTAGCCTAGTGCACCTTCAGATTTAGCCCGGGCAGCACCTGGGTGAAGCATGCCAATAAATCCACTCGCTGCTGATGGTAATAAAAAGGGTTAAAAACCAAGCAGACTGCAGCTGAAAATTCCACAGCGTTTCCCTCCACAGAGGCTGCAAACTGCGCGTCTCCCTTGTTCCAAAGGGACAAAGTGCCCTAAAGATCAGCCGGCTAAACACATGGACACGCCAGTGCCAGCGGCGGGCAGGGATGGCAGGAGAGCTGGGAGAGTTGGAGCATCACGGCGATCCCCATTCCCGGCGCCCGGGGACGCGCAACTCGCGGCTACGCGTCGGAGCCGGATTCACCGCCTGGAGCCGAGGAACCCCCTCTCCTTCCTCCCCGCCCCAGCCCCCGGTGAACACCCAGCATCTGGGCACTACCTGCGTTCATCAGCACAGCCATCCCGCGTCTTCAGTCATTCAAGGAATTTAACAGCCTGGAAATTCCTGTTGTCCATTATTTGAGGTCACAGATAAAAAGCTAAACAGCAGCCGTGACTCCCATCAATCATAAGTCACTCACTGATAGAGCGTATGGTAGGAGACCTACTGATGTAAGCTAGTCACCAGAGAAAATACCCACTGATGACGCATATCCAGGCACAAAAATAGTTACAGGGCCCCCAAAGGGATTATTCAACAGCCTACATTTAGATATTCCTTAAGAGACCCGCAGTCAATTTGCTGCTATTAGATGGCTGGGGAACATTGAAGTTTAAGTTTCCTCAGCAGACATAACCACAAATAGCTGGTTTAAATAAGCTACTGCAATTACAAGCTGTTTTGTAAATTTCAACACTGCATTATAGAGATTAAGTCTAAACAGAATCACTGGCAAAAAAATGCTGCATAGCCTTTGCTGTCAATATTTACCAATTCCTCCTGCATATTAGACAGCAATGAAAAGAACAATTTAAAATTAATTCACAAATGTTCAAGCTAAGCCCCTTGTGCTACCCTAGAGCAATGTTTTTAAATCATAAAAAAACCCAAAACCATATATGCAAAATGGTATGGGATATTTTGGTGCTGCTTCAACGCTATCTGGACTACCTTTTGCCTTAATTTTTATCCTTCTTTGGTATTCGCCTCTGTACTACACAAAAAGAAAACTATCCAAATAGTTAATCTTTTTTGCACAAATCAAAACCATGTAAAGGTAAGTTCTGCAACATGCAAAACCACATACTGTGCACCCGCTTTGAGCAGGGGCTAGAGAGAGGATCCCCAGAAATCCCTTTGAGCCTAAATTATTCTGCAATTCTGTGCAGCTGGATTTTTTGGCATTAAAAACATAATCCTCTAAATTAACCAATCAACTGATAATCCTACAATACTCCTGCCCCCTTCAACAGTTCCAGGATCCTTCTCATACCCAGACAGCAACAAAACTTACTAGGCTATAGCTGAGCTTACTAGCACCACTGAGCACCAAACACTGACTGTGCATTTTGGGCAATATTAAAATCTTTATTTTTTAAAATGTTTAACATCCAATCCCCCTTTTTGAAAGCAATTTTGGTGCTTAGGAGTCCAAAGTTTACTGACTTTTTATTGCACATTTATAATCTAAACATAGGAAAATATTTTATGGCTCTGATACCTATTTCATTGACATACTTTTGGAAAGCATTACCTAGCCAAACAAACACTCAAGGATTTATAGTGTTTACCCTGTAAAGCAGGAGAAGGAATTGTCTCAGGCTATGAACTTCTACCTCATTTTCTTCATCTGTGATAACATTATTAAAAATAACACCAAAAATTATTTTTAGCACAACTGTTTCGTAAAGCCCTCATGTTTCTCTCATGCATCCATATGCTGCCAGTCCACATGGCCTAATTTAACAGTCCTAAGCAGAAATATTGGTGCCCTCTAGCTGATTTTCCTCACCAATTTCCTGCAAACACTGAGCAGCAGTCTCTCTTTTCTCCTGACATTCCTGGGTCTTTTACTGGTGCCTTCAAAATGCAATGCCCTGGAATAAAACCAGCCACTTCCTACGGAAGACACAGGAATCAAAACACTCAAATCCCTTAGTGCTCTCAACTGTAGGAGCTCTTTAAATAGCCTAAGTGCTGTGAAAAATAGGAGAGGTATAACTGTGTTCAATACCACCTTACCAAGAATTAGTGAAGCACATAAATACATTTTATAACAAGTTTGCACATTCCATGGGAAAATACAGCCTTGAAATTTTGCATGAAACACAGGAAGCCCCTCACCCATTCAGAAGTAGTACAGTTACCTCCGCATCAGGAGCCTTTAGAAAGCTTATAAACCTTTTAATATGTTCTGCCACACATTCTGAAGTTAGTTGGTGATGGATCAGACAATTTCACAGCTCAGAGCCCAGGATTTTGCCATCACACAAGCCTTGGTGAGCAGGGAGAGCTTTCCTCTCCTTTCACTCTGATGTCTGTCAAAGGGACAGACTCCCTGTTCCACCCTCCCCTGTTCCCATCCCCTCTGCCTCCAGCCCCTCTCCTGGAGGCTGTATCGGGTGCCACTGAGGTACGGGGCCTCATCACCTTATAGCTGGATGTCCCTGTCCGTCAGGGACACAGCTGGAGCACATCTCCAAAGCTAGGAAAGCCACGAGACAAGCATGCTAACACATACTTTGAACATCATCTCCAGTGTGACAGGTGAGGTCAACAAAACAGTGTCCAAATCCCAAAGAGGAAATCTCTCCTGGCTGGAGGAAAGCCCCTGCTGAGGAAGAGCTGTCCCAGGAAATGCTGAGTCTGTGGTGGCAGGCAGCTGCCTGGCAGCTGTCAGAACAGCTCTTTGGCACCTCTGAGTGCATCTGCTCTAATCCACTGGCTGCCCAAAGGATGCAAGAGAACAGGAGTCTGTGTGGAAAGCAGTGTTAAAGCTCTATTCTCTTCCTCCTTGTCCAGCTAAAAGAACCAGAGGTTGGCTGGAGCGGCTGTCTCTGTGCATTTAATTAAAGCCATAAGGCTCTGTGGAGAACTCTGGATGGCCCTATCAACCATTAATCAAATTAAACATGGAAGGGAGATCAGGATCTGAAGCTCAAAATAAATACTACAAATAAATAAATAATACAAATAAATAAATAATACAAAATGAAAACTTTTAGGGTTGCATTCATAGTCCTCAAAAGGTCTGTTTAAACCTTGATTGGGAAAAAGGAAGCTGCAGCATATACTGTGCATTCTGTGTTTGAACAGCAATTGTAAAGCAGAAACTGCTCAAATACGTGGGAAGCATCAGGCTGATCCTGCAACTTCCATCTGTCTTTGGAAAGTTAACTTCCCATGTGCCACCTGCCTGTTGGAAGACAGAATGGGTTAATCACAGTGGCCAGGCATTTTGGAAGGGTCCTAGGGCTCCATTTCTCTAGCACCTTACTACAACATTCCAGCCATGATCCTTTCACATACACCTCTAGGAAAAGGATGCTACAGACTCAGTCAATACTCATTAGGCAGTTGTAAGCCAAATCTCTACATCAATTAAAAGATGAAGGGCTTATTTGAACATGGAACAGTCAAAACCCTTTGTTCGCATAAAACAGGTATTTTATGCCACATGGAAAGAAAATTTTTGGCACAGTCCATTTTTTGGCTTGCCTTTTTTTTTTTTTTTTTTTTTTAACAACCAGCTGTCGGTTCTGCCCGTTCTCACACGGGAGACCTAGAACAAGGCTGGTTTGTGCAGCTTCTTTTCTGGAAGGCAACAGATTTTTCAAAAGCCTGATTTCTTGAAATATTAAAGAACCCAGCAAAATCTTGAAAAGAATAAGTACAGATGTGGTAATGTGACAGATGGGCAGTGAAGGTGGTATCTGCAAGATAAAAGGAGATATGGTGGAAAATTAGGATCTGGCAAGAACAGCTTTTGTTTTTTCCAGTGGTAAAAACATGTTGCTGTTCAATACAGAAACTATAATGAAAACAGGTGAAGGACGAACAGGAATCATGTTACAGTGGGTAACTAAGTAAACCCATCTAAGTAAGTATTAAAGAGTGTAGAGATGTCCTGGTACCACAAAACTTCATGATAGTTTTAAAAATGCCATGTTTGAAGTAGGAAAATTATTAATTATCTCTTACTGGCCCGGGAGCACCTAATTTGGAATATACATTAATGAAATGTAGGAATATTGTTTATGAAAAGTAAAGAGACCATGAGATTTCCAAACAGACAGCAAGAGAACACTTCACATTAGCAAATTTTAATTTGAAATTTCTATGATTTTTGAAACAAGAGGCAGTATTAGAAAATATTGTCTCACCAAGGATGGGATAGTATGGTGCATTTAGTCACCATATCATACAACATTAGATAAACAAGGTCACTGAGGTCAGAAACATAAATATAGTTCATGCTATTCTCAGTCTGTCTGCCCATCAATGTCTTCGGGCCTTTCTCTCACTGCTAGCATTGGCAAAACAGGTAATATTGATTATAACTGAAAAACAAAATTAAAGTATTATAGAAGCACAGGCTTCTGAGACTATATATTGATTTTTCTCTATTTGGAAACAGGATTCTGATACCTCCCCTTGCATTCAAGCATCCCTGAAGAAATCTAAGATGAGTAACAATGGATGATGGTGGTGGGATTTGTGCTTATTTTAGATATTTTACACAAAAATCAACATTTTTTACTTGTGGAAATAAGTACACTTGAAGTTAAATCTCAAATTCACACTACCTTTGATATAGTCTAATCTAGAGATACACTGGTAGCATAATTAACAGTAAATTACAGAGCTTATGTCAAAATTCTAAAGCAAAAAAAAAGAACTAAAATAAAACCAGAGAAAGCTATTGCCTGAGCACCTGAAACCAAATTTTCTTGAAATAAGAAACTAGCATTTGATAGCAATAGTTTTGCCTGTGTACAACCCTATTCCAAGATAATAAGTAAAAATATTTTATGATCTGTTATTTACCAAAATTCTTTAAAGTATTTCAAGAATATGGTGATGGAAAATAATAGTAATCTCAGTTGTCTGTTCACATCATATGTATGCCACTTGACTTGAAGGGACCAAAAAATGTTAATCATCAAAACATGACAGATTTATTCTATACATTATTCTATAGTGACTGCACTGGTGGATAAGGAAAGAGAAACTGATGTCATTATCTTGACTTCTTTAAGGTCTCTGACAGTCTCACACAACATCTCTGTCTCTCTGTGTTGGGGAGATAAGGATTTGATGGCTAGACCATTCAATAGAAAGGGAACTCCCTGGATGGCCATAGCCAGAGAGTTGCAGTCAACCTCTCAGTGTCCAAACGGATCTCTGTCAAGTGGTGTTCCTTGTGGAACCTTATTGGGAATGATTCTGTTCAATACCTTAATTAATGACATAGTGGAATTGAGGGTACCCTTATCAAGTTTGCAGGTGACACCAAGCTCAGCAGTTCAATTGACACATGTGGTGGAAGGGATTTCAACTCTAGGGACTTAACAGGCTTGAGAAGTGGGCCAGTGTGAACCTCATTAAACTGAATGTGGCCAAGGCCAAAGACCTGCACGTGGGTTGGGGCAACCCCCAGTAGCAGGACAGGCAGGGAATGAATGGTTTGAGAGCAGCCCCGTGGAAGACTTGGGGGTACTGTGTGGTGGGTTGACTTGACAGGACACTGGGTGCCCACTATAGCTTCTCTGTCACTCCCTTCCTCAAATGGACAAGGGAGGAAAAAACACAACAAAAAGGATAAGGATGGGGGAGATCACTGGCCACTTACCATCACAGACAAAACAAACTCAACGTAGACAGAGAAGTTTAATTTCATGCCAAAAAAAATCAGAGTAGAATAATGAGAAATAAAACTAAACCTTAAAAAAAATTCCCCTCACCCTTTCCTTCTTGCCAAGCTTAACTTCACTCCAGACTTTCTCTCCCTCCTCTCTGTAGTGCAGGGGAAGGGGGAAGAGGTTGTGTTCACTGCTGCTCCTTCCTCCTCAGAGGAATGACTACTCACACTCATTTCTCTGCTCCATGTGGGGTCCTCCACGGGCTGCAGGTGGGTATCTGATGCACAGTGGACCTCCATGGGCTGCAGGGACACAGCTGCCTCACCATGGGCTGCACCCCAGGACACAGAGGAATCTGCACTCTGCTGCCTCCTGCCCCTCCTCCTACACTGACCTTGATGTCTGCAGGGCTGTTGCTCTCACATGTTCTCACCCTGCTCTTCTCTGGATGCAATTGCTGTTATGCAGCAATTTTTTTTCCTTCTTAAATCTGTTATTCCAGAGTTGCCACCTCTGTTGCTGATGAGCCCAGCCTTGGCCAGCAGCATGTCCATCTGGGAGCCAGCTGACACTGGCTCCATTAAACACAGGGGAAGCTTCTGGCAGCCTCTCACAGAAGCCACAACTGTAGTTCCCTGCTACCAAAACCTTGGTACACAAACCCAGTACATTGTTAGATGAAAAATTAGATATGACCCATCAATGTGCACTTGCAGCACAGAAAGCCAGTTGCATGCTGGGCTGCATCAAAAGCAGTGTGTCCAGCAGGTCAAGGGATGTGGTTCTGTCCCTTTACTGGGCTCCCACCTGAGACCCCACCTGGATACCATATGGAGCTCTGGTGACAATCACAAGTCAAACACAGACTTGTTGGAGTGGATCCCGAAAAGGCCATAAGGATGAGTAGAGAGCTGGAGTACTTCTCCTGTGAAGCCAGGCTGTGAGAGTTGGGGTATTCAGCCTAAAGAATAAAGAGACAGCTCTGGGGAGACCTTACAGTAGCCTTCCAGTACCTACAGGAGACCTATAAGAGAAGGACTTCTTACCAGGGCCTGTGGTGGTAGGACAAGGGGCAACAGTTTTGAACTGAAAGAGGGTAGGTTTAGATTAGATATAAAGAAGAAATTCTTTATTGTGAGGATGGTGAAGCACAGGAATAGGTTTCCCAGAGAAGATGTAGATGCCCCATCCCTGGAAGTGTTCAAAGCGAGATTGGATGGGGATCTGTGCCATCTGGTTTAGTGGAAGGTACCCCTGCCCATGGCAGGGGGGGTGGAACTAGATAATCTTTAAAGGTCCCTTTCAACCAAACCATTCTGTGACTCTGTAATTCCAGTGCACAGAACTAGGAGTACATTACAGAGATACTCTAAAGCAAATATAGAAACAGTGACTGCAAAGAGACTATTCTGAAATGACATTTATTTCAGTTTGATGTTTGATTGTAAATCAGTAAAAACGATCTTCATCTACAGGTACTGCCAATAAAAAATTAATTCAGAATGTATACCCATTTCTAACTCCATCTGGAAAGGGAAACACAGAGAGAGTGACTATGGGTCACCAAAACTGGGGAGTGGAAAAGGGCAGCATAAGAAACTCCACTGTCTTTACTTTCTCCACCCCTGAGCACTGCGATAATGTAAGATCATATTTAAGTGTTAACGACCTCACATGCACAGATGTGACCTGCCCTCGAGGATGAAGTTTCATGCTTCAGTGAGGTCACTCCAGTGGTGAGCAGCCACCCAAGAGGGGAGGATGCCACTTTGCTTCTTCCTCTCAATGCCAGCTGTGTGCTTCTGCCAGCTCTAGAGTTTGCCAGTGCCCATGGGAAGTCAATCCAAGGTGCTCACCCATCAGAAATCCCTGGCTATCCAATAGCTCGCTACTTGCCCAGCTGCCAAAACCAGCCCAGTGCAGGCTGCAGAGGACAGGTAGCAGGAGCAGCCCCTCTGGGACACGAAACCACAGCCAGGACAGAGGGAAACCTTTCCTTAATCTCCAACCACCAGTACCCACACAGCTTCCATCTTTGGCAGCACTGGACAATCCAGGCCAAGGAAAAGAAAAGCTGACCTCTCAAAGCTGAGAGGTGCTTCAGACACTGATGTGGACAGCTTCCGCAGGGACCATCAGAGAGCCAGCAGGGCTTTGAAGGAACTGCAGGGGCAAGAAAGAATCAAACCACTCCATGCAAAGGAGAGAGACCCAGCTCGGCTGCAGCCTCTTGGCTGGTCCCCACCACCAGTACCTGCCAAAAGGGGAGATTGCCCCACAAGGTGTATTTAGCTCTATGTTGAT